TCTTAGTCAGTTTATGTATTTTTGACAAATCCTTTCAATTTTGCAATTACTCAAATCAACAAAACTCTAACAATAAGTTGAACATAAAATCTCTTAAAGTGTGAATTTTTAAACTGGTAATAATTAAAAAAAAAAAATCACCAAAGGCTAGGGATGGCAAAAAAGCTCATCGGCTCAGGCTAGAATCAGAAAAAGCCTGAGCTGGGACCGGAGAGAGATAGAGGGATGGATCCTTAGATATGAAATATATTCAGATTTAAAACCAAATTTGAAATTACAAGGGTGATTGGTGGAGAATGTGGTGGCAATGGTTGGTGGAGAAAAATGTATGGATATGAGTGACGATACTTTTTTGATGGCAGAGGTGATGGTGATGGACAACAAAGTGAGATGTGATGATGATGGTATTAAGGTTTGAGAGAGAGAGAGAGAGAGAAGGGGTTGGTGGGGGTAAGATTGAATGAGATATATTAATTTGGTTCTTACTATTGGAAGAAAGCGGGTAGCCCATGTGGACTGATCCGATCCAATTTGTATAGGATGATTTTTTGGAGAGAGGAGTTAAATTTTGAATTAAAATTTAACTTCCCATCACTTTCAAACAAATATAACTTCCATTATACAACAAACAAAAGATATATGTGCAAAAATTCGGGTTTCTTCAAAGGGTGAAAAGTAAATGAAAGTGGAGGATTGATTTTTGGAAATATAACATCTCAAATTGGGCTTTTGAATTGTGGCTATCAAATTCCTTCATTTGTGATCAAGTTTTTTTTTACTAAAGAGTGGGTAGAAGACGGTGTGGAAAGCAAGCAATCAAAAAGCAAGTGATTCAACCTTCTTTTGAGATTTTCAAGTAAGTTTTACAATTTAGAATTCGGTTAAAAACATGCAAGCCTATTTTACATTGGTATCAGAGCCTAAGTGTGTTGTTTTCTTGCTTAAATACATGCTGAAATTATTTAGAATAATCGAAATGCATGAATTTCGTTTTCTTCCAAAAGTTCCAATGTCATTAATGGAAATTTTTGATATATTCCACATAAAAATTCATGAAATTTATACCATATGTTCATGATATTATGTAGAACATATCTGAAAAAATTTCACTTTGTCTGAATTTATATTTTGGGATAAAAATTGAGCCCTAGTTGAGAAAATCGAAATTTCATCACATGATAACTTCTAGCACGTTAAGTTTCATGCTGTCCATTTAGTAGGATGTATAGATCTTCTCAAGACCTTTCCAATAGTGTAAAGAATATTAATTTTGGCTTAGAATTGAAGAAGTTATATGACCTTCCAACGTTTTGACAAAAATCTGAAAAAAATTACTGGTTTTTTTACTATGAACCGTTAAAAAAAAAAAAAAGACTGTTCCATAGAGGTGGTTGCATTCAAAATGCAATTTGAAAAATTGCATGTTGGTCCCAAAACTATTTTTTAGATGTTATTTATTCCAATACCAATTTGAAAAGTTGCAAATTGNTACCAATTTGAAAAGTTGCAAATTGTTCCATCAAATATTCCTTTTTTTTTCCTTCATGCAATTAAAATAATTTTCAGATAATCAAAAATATTTTTTATTGAAATAAATTTATAAAAGGCATTAAAAATAATTTTGACTTGATTAAAATTTCTAAAAATATTTTTATAAAATCAAGAATGTTTATTAAGTGATATTTGACTAGGGGGAGTTATTTTCTGAAGTACTCTTAATTTTTTTGAAAATGAAAAATACTCCGAAATTGTTTGAAATGCCACATTTTATATATGTTCATAAGTGGTGTGGATCTTAATTAGGTTATTTGATGAATCGTGATTAGTTTTCAATTTTTTTGTTTGATCAGATATTCCTTAGAGGAGAAGCTAGTAGAGCACGAACTATGGAACATGTTGAAAAATTATGTACTCATCGAAACTATGAAATGGATCCACAACATAATCTCGTACGCCACATAAAATATCTCGAAGCAATGCGTCGAGAAGTGATGCATTTAGGACAACATTATGTCAGGTGAAGAGTATCTATCATCTAATGAGGACACTTCCTAAATATTGGCATAATATTGCTATTGAAGTTCTGAATAATTCACCACCTCTATGTTACAGCTATCTGATCAGGATTTTGATTAGGACATGGAATTCAAAAAATGAGAATTTTATAATTAATTTA